TTGACCCACCCTTCTCAACAGCCTGAGCCCATTTCATGTTCCAGCACTCATGGCTGCCGAGGCCGGATCCTTCTACTCAACCAGCGCTCACCGGAGGTGGGTAGTGTGGGCGAGTGCGAGGAATCTCAGTGCTCAGTCTGATCATCACATGTCGTTTGCAGCTCTCAGCCGCTGAGTTTGAAGCAGAAGCTAAAATTTAGATCTTGGAGTGTGCCTTTGCCATTGCTTGCATTTGCTTCTCCAGAGCAGAGTGCCAGTATTCAATGCTTTTGGTATTGACACCGGGCTTTCATTGCCAAGATTAATAATAGTAGTTAATGATTCTAATATTTTCGTGCCGGCTTTCTGAAGGTCGCCTGGCTGTAGGACAGAATCATAATTTGAGGGTGTATTGGAAAGGGCCACTGCAATAATCATGGGCCGGCCGAAGCGTCGACTGAGTTTTGGCAGCGACACTCAAGCGACCGGTATATGCTGCAAGCACCCACGACGCAGTGCTGATGGAGATGATCGTGAAGCGACCGGATAGCAAATTAAATGCCAAGTCGTACCAAAATACGGACTTTAGCATGTGGTCGTGTTGACAGTGTTGACATTATTTGGCGTTTTCAGGTCATTCGAGTTGGCACTGATTTCTCCGGAATGGGCAGCTTTGAGTTGGCGGCGAAGAATGTATGTCATGCCCTGAATGTCCACGTGGATTGTGTCTTCGCTTGCGAGAAGGACCCAAGTTGTCAGTCCGTGTTGCTAGATAACCACTGTCCCGAGAGAATGTTCTCTGATGTCGATCAACGGGATCACTTGGAAGCTCCTCCGTGCGACTGGTTCGGAGCTGGGTTCCCTTGCCAGGCATTTGCAAGCTGTGGCTTGCGCCAGGGAATTCATGACCAGAAAGACCGTGGACTGTTAGTAGCACATTCTCTAGACTACATTCGGGTGCACCTTCCACAGCTGGTGTTCTTCGAGAATGTTGTTGGGATGACGCATGCTCAGCACAGGCCTCTCTTGGCATGGATATTGGTTACCTTGCAAGAACTTGGTTACGAAACTCACCACAAAATATTGAATACAGCACACTTTGGAATTCCTCACCGAAGAGAACGACTTTACATTGTGGCAATTTTGAAGCATCGCTTGAAGCGTCCTTTCGTGTGGCCGGAACCAGTACCCACTCCTCCTTTGGATGAGTTTCTTTCTTCGGCAACTCGATTCTCGGCTCAGGTGGATAAGACGTGTGTGAACCCATTCATGCATTTTCTCCTTCGCATAATTGTCTGAAAGATTTAATCCGAGCCAAGGTCGCCCGGAAGCTACGTATCCACCCCGAGAACACAAACGAGGCTTCCAGAATGTGACGGAGGCATACAAGAGGATTAGGTTCAAGGGGTCGGACCCAGCACGAGATTGCTATGTTGTGGATTGTGGGGCTTCCTTGAACTGGCTAGCCTTTGCGAAGAATGAGTGTATGTGCCTCATACGCAGCCGCAATTCTCCTGAAAGCTATTGGCTGAGCAATCTCGGAAGATATCTGTCAACAGAGGACCGGTTGAAGCTGCAGGGTCATGATGTGGCTATGAAGAGGCCAGTGCCTGATAAGAAATTGAGTGCCATGCTAGGAAATGCAATGAGTGTCAATGTGGTCCAAGCAGTTCTAATGCAGGCTGCATGGGCCATGGGCCGTGGGCAAGCATCGTAGATCATCATGCAAAATTTGATAAAAAAAAACTTCGCAAGCCACGTGTGCTAGCACGTGCCATGCATAGGCTAGGCTAGGCGGATGGGCCAAAGGTCATTTCTGCTTTATCAGGTCATATCTCATCGGGATGCAAAACCGAGCTACGACCACTGCACACAGGAGGATTGTCGGTTTGTCTTGTGCCTGTCCGTGCGAGACCTTGAACTTGAG